ATATATATATACTAAATTTAACATTTTTAAAAAGTTTCGAGGACAGTTTGTTAACCACTAAAAAGAATTCCATTAGCAAATAACGGAATATTTATTAAGTAGATTATTTTGAAGCAAAATAAATAATTTATAAATCATTTTGAAAAAAAAATTATTTCTAAACTAACCTAAAATAAATTACATAATTAATAAATTATCCATTGAATTTAACCAAAAAAATTCCGAAACTGACCGAAAATATAACGGATGGGTAGCGTTTAACTAAATCAAAGGCAGTGCCCCATAAAAGGAAATGAAATCATTAACAGTTTTCCGTAGGAACAAATGAAAGAAAAAATTAAAATAAAATTTAAATTTCACTAATAAAAATTTTAAAATTGTAAAATAAATAAATAAAATTTATAAATTTATAAATTATTTAATAATTATTGATTAATAAATATTTCAAAAAATATTATATATAATTATTTATATACTTAATAACACTTAAAAAAGGAAAAATTTTATATATTTTTTTAATTCCGAAGGATTTAACGGTTTTATTGTTCTGAAACAAGAAATTTTATTTTTATTCAAGCTTTTGATCATCGCCTTGCTACCAAAAGTTGCCCTAATCGATGCGCTAAATTAATTTTGAGAACTTTCAAGTGCTATATGTGTAGGAATTATTTGTAGTGATGATTTAAACAACTGCATTAGTAATTCTCTTGTACCCTAACAATAAGATGCATTTTAATTTAAAACTTTGGAATGTATTTTATTATTTTTATTTTTAATTAATGAACTATTTATGCAAAAAATTAATATGCTATGAAAAGAATTTTAAGAATTTAATTGAATAGAATAATGGTAGTAGCGGGAGATATAAAATGTATATTTAAAGTATAATTTAAAAATTAATTGGAAGTTCAAGATATAAATTAAATTTCAAAACAATTTTTTACCTCGTGGTATTATTTGAGACCGGATTACAAGTTACACTTTTAAATTTAAACTTCAATTTATTATTTAAAATCTAAAACTAAAAGCAATAGGAGGGGAGAAAATGTTTTCTCATCATTATAATAATTAATTAAATTTGACTTTGGTTAAGGGGATAATTAATTCAATAAAATTAATATTAGTACGTTAAATATTTCTAAATTAATTCACGTCAACCATTTGTCTTCAACGTAGAAATTGAAGTCTCTTTACTTATTATTCTTTGCACTAAGTAGGGGTGTTCATATCCGATTCAATCCAATTGATTCAACTAAAACTGACCTATCTAATAAAAAATCGATCCAAATCGATATAAAATTGGATTGGTTTGAATTTTAAAATCTTAAAATTGATATAATTAGTTTGATTTATGATTTTACTTTCAAATCGCCCGAACTATTCGATTACAAAATAAAATTTGATTAAAAGATAATTTAATAAATAATATAACATATTTTTTTTGTAGTATTTTAAATTTTCTTTTTCTTATTTTACAAGATTATAACTACATTAACTTAATTAAAAAATAAAAATAGAACATCTCCATATTTCCTAAGTTATTTCTTCATTTTAACCATGTACTCTAACTTTAATTCTAAATATCTAATTCACCTACAACTCTATTATCTCAGAATTTGTTTCCACCTTTACTCTTAGAACCCTATATTTCTAATTTATTCTTAAAATAGTCTTATAATTTTCCTAACTAAATTTTAAATAAGTATTACTCTAAAAACCTTGAAACTATTCTTAAAATAGGCTTAATTTAATTTTTAGTCTATTAACTATCACCTTGATTTCATTTTAGTCTAGAAATTATGTTTTATTTCTAAGTGGTCTATTAACTTTCAGATTCATTTCAATTTCATCTACTTGGTTATCTTTGACGGAAAACTTACTATTCTGTTAGAGAATAGTTAGTCCTCTAACTATATTTATTTTGATTTTTTAGTCCTCAAATTTATATTTACGGTAAAAACAACTTTTATACTTAAAATTATTATTTTTAGGCTCTAATACCAAATTTTTATTTAGGTTTTTCTCATTTCTTTAATTCTTCTTAGGGTATTTTCATTAATTGTTTTTATTTTTAAAATATTATCAGTTATTCATTAGTTACAGTAGTCTGAATTAAGTTCTGAAAACTCGAATAAAAATCTGGTATCAGAGCATAGAAATAATAATTTTAAATATAAAAAATATTTTTACAGCAAATATAAATTTGAGGACTAAAAGATCAAAACAAATATAGTTAGAGGACTAACTGTTCTTTAACAGAATAGTAAGTTTTCCGTCAAAGATAACCAGGTAGACGAAATTGAAATAAATGCTAAAGTTAATAGACCACTTAGAAATAAAACATAGTTTCTAGACTAAAATGAAATCAAGGTGATAGTTAATAGACTAAAAATTGAATTAACCCTAAAATTAATCTTAATATTCTACTATTTTTAGATATTTAGTTTAAACGTTTTAAATTTTGATTATGAATGCTTCTAATCAATTTTAGTAATATTCATGTTAAATGTTATTTACTTTTAATAGGATTTAGAAAATGGAATTAAATTATTAGTGCATTAGGAAAAATAAACTAATTTTAATCTTCAAGAATTATTTACGTTGTACTAGAAATTTGAAGTTATTTTTTATTGTTTTTTGTGCCTCTAGTGATGTAACAAAGAAGAATTTCAAAGCTTTTCAATTTTACAAATGTAAAAGAGTATAAGAATTTGTTTATAATTTTTACTTATTATTATGTTTTTACTGATTTGGATGTTAATGTATTTTATAGTTATACTTTCTATTTGATGTTAAAATATTTTTACATTATCTTATATATTTAATAATGTTAAAAATCGATAAATTCGACCGAACCATATCGATCCGATTTAAATTGGATTGGTTTGGTTATCACATAATAATGGATTGAATTGGTTTAAAAATTTTATTAATTGATTAAATTATATTGATTTAAAAAATAATAAAATCCGAACCAAACCACACCATGAGTACCCCTAGCACTAAGGTTTCTCACGAAGAGACAATATAAAAAAAAAAGAAGAAATCAATATTTTTTAGTACCATGGTGAAGTTTAGTATTTATTTAATGTTGATTTTTTTTTTTGGCAACTGAAACAGTTATGGCCATGGAAGATCCTGACTTTATCATTAAAAGGTATTCTTGTGTAACTAAGATGGAAATGAATTGCGTGCTTGAGGTTTTTAGTAACATATTCAAAACTAATAAATGTTGTCTGAAGTAGAAGTATTGGGTCAAATTTGTCACAATGCATTTGTACTTTAGCCTCTTCGAAATCTTGAATTCAAAAACAATAATCCATCAATGATTTTGACAAAGAGCAAGTAAACTTGGAACAAGTGTGTTTTAGTTTCACCAAATCCTTTCCATTTAAATTTAAAAATTAATTGTTAATAATAAATGATTGTAAAAGCCACTTTCATGTAATCAATAATATAATTTTTAATAACATGCTAAACTACTCTGATAAAAAAAAAATAGCCATGAAACTAGGGGACGAGCATAACCGGAGAAAAGTAGATGAAGAAAGAAAATATGCATGCAATAAGAATGTACCCAATAAAAATCTTCTCAAACTGAACAAATTAATATAGTGTTGGGAATGGACCCAACATTCAACCTAGGCCATGCACAATAGGACCAGTCATTTATCCATAAGCCCAAGATGAAGAGACATCCAGATACTAATACAGACATACTCACATGGGCGCATGCACATGGGCTAATCAAAGGTTTACATATGTAGTCTTGTGTCAGGACTTAGAGGCTATAAATACCCCCAACGACTTCCACTCAAGGTATTAACTTCACTATGCTTCTCTCTTGGCAATTACTCTTTGAAAGCTTTTCTCTCTAAAATATCGAGTATTGTTGACTTAAGCATCAGAGTGTTTTTCCCGAGGAAACATCCTTGGGATTTTCAAGTGTTGAAGCAGTTGAAGATCTCTATAGTGTAGGTTCATGAAGCTGCCCAAACATTTGGCGTTGTCTGTGGGAAACTGAACAAAAAGTGGTGTAGTTTAACTAGCTAAAGGTAAACATGGTGCGCACCTTTACTGGGAATCACCCTCCAAGAGATGACATGGATGAACAGGATAAGACTTAGCTTTTGGAGAGTGACCCAAACGACTTTTGGCCAATGTCGAGGAACCTTTTTGTCGGAGGAGCAGAAGAAGAATAGTTGAATGGATCAGATGATGAAAGAACACCAACTGGGTATGCAACCCAGCCCGAACAATTTCAAATTTCAACAGAAACAAGGCGGAGACATCCCTTGCATAGTACCTCACGATGCAGAGGACCTGTGGAATTTGCTTGAACGTCTGAGCTAGAGGAACGAACCAGGATCCTAGAAATGGCCATGGGAAGAATACTTACCCGTCTAATCCCTGATGACCCCCTGATTCCCCTGTTGAATAGGGTTGAATAGCCTGTAGAAATGACAACTCGTAATTCCCCAGCCTTAAGCAACATATTCGTGCCGACCAGGCCGAGGGGAAGTGGGAAATCAAACCCAGAGCCTAGCTCGTCCAAACACAACGAGGAGTTGATGAAGAAGAATGCCGACCTTGAAAGGCGACTCAAGGATGTGCAAAGATCTATTGACAAGCTGAGAAGTCGGAGGTCGCACCAACAAGCCTTGAATTTGGATAGTGCCCCTTTCAACCTATCCATTGCAGCAGAACCATATTAAGAGGGGTTCAAGATTCCTCACTTAGAGACATATGATGGCTCTGTCGACTCGGACGAACA